TTCTCTCGCCAGTTTCCAGACCAAAGGCGGCTTTGGTGTTTGTTCTTACGGGCTTCCGCTTTTGATGAGCTGAGATCATTATTATATAAGATGTCACAGGAGGAGGAGAGGGAGGGACGACGCAAGTCTTCGAGGGGAGGAAAAGAGCTCTTCGCTCTCCCTTGCGCCTTGCCTCTTACCGGGGGGGGGCTGTTGAGGGACCAGCTCCTCACCCTCCTCCCCCGTCTCCACGCACACCTGTTTGAGCTCAAAAGTAAAACTGACGGTCTGATCTCCCTCTTGTGCGTATATTGGTGTGCGTTGTGTGTATGTGTATGAGAGAGAGAGAAGGGGGGGGCTGGATTGGCTGTGTGTATGTGTATGAGAGAGAGAGAGAAGTGGGGGGCTGGATTGGATTGGCTTTTGAGTGTCTCTCACTCTCTGGGCACCTCTCTCGTCTGCCCCCGCGCTTTCGTCATGGAAGAAATGTAGAAAATGAATATTTGGGTGTTTCGGAGGGAGGGGGGAAAGTAGGTGTAGTTCAAGAACCCGGCGCAGCGCTGTTCCGACTCTCGCCGGTTCAGAAAGACTTCTGTGTAAATGGGTTTGTGGATTACAACCCACGTGTGTTTTGCTTGTTAATATGGCTCGGAGATGATGACTGAATGGATGAGTCATCAGTTCCACCGAATGGTGACTCACTTTTCTCTCTCCGGTACACGCACACGCTCTGTAAAAGTTGATTGGTTCGGGCTTTCATTCCAAAAACTAGGGTCGGAGGAAGTGCCCCCCCTGCTGGAATCCTGTAAACACTTACCTGAAAGTAAGGCTGACCAGGACTTACTTTAGAGTAAATATGCATAAGATGACACTTGCTATTTTTGAGATCACTTCTCTGCTGTCCAGCAATGTGCAGATCTGTGTTTTTGGACTACAACTCCCAGAATTGCCAAACCGACATGCAGCTGGGAATTGTAGTCAAAAAACAAGCCTGCAGTTTTCTAGTCGAGAGAGACTTCAAATGGAATTTGAGCTTGTTTTAATGCACCTGCAGTAAGAACCAGAATGTCAGAACATGGAATGTTAAACTTCAGACTGCAATATTATGTTACACTGAAATCCTGGATGATTAAATTGATTGGGATGCCACCTATGTTGTGTGGAATGAGGAGCTTTAAATCTTGTCCAATGATCTTCTCTTCCAGGCGTATACTGGGGAAAAACATTGATGAAATGCTAATTCGTTCCTGCTTTAGACAAAGTCCTCTTTGATTTTGTTTGATTCTTGTGGAAGCATCGGTGAATTTGTAACATTTGGACGTGTACATTTTCTGAAATATATATAAGATTTAAATAGAAAACAGCAATGTATCTTCTTCAGATTCATATTTTCCTTTTCTTTAAAAGGAAGCTGGTTATAATAATAAATACAACAATAATACAGTAACATCATGATACAGTCTCAGAACATGATAGGATGGCCAACTTGAAATCTTGAGATGTTCAGGTAGAATTGCTGGATAGCTTGGTGGTTTAGATATCTGGCAGAGCTACGGTGCCTCCTTGACAGGTGCTGGACTCAATGATCCATTGGCCCCTTCCAGCTCCACTGTTCTCAGATAATAAAGGTTAATGAATTGTCCATCCTGACTGGGGTATTCTGGTAGCTGCCATCCAAAAACTGCTTTTTCCAAACCTATAGGAGGGTTACAGTATCCCAACTGGGAGTGTCAAAAGCCACAAATAAAAGTATGGCTAGTTGTGTTGCCACAAAATAAATTCTGACATTTATAGTAAGGTGCCTTTTTCAGGCCAACTAAAAAGGCACAAAAAAGATGCAGGTTTTCAAATGCATCTCATTGTCAAGAACAATGTTAGAAGTGTGGAAGGGAAGGAAAAAGGCAGGAAGCCAGATCTTAAGACCTTGTTGTCTGCATGTTTTTCGGGGAATATAGTGAATATAAACAGAGAACCAGTCTTGAAACTGTGTTACATTTTACTGTTGTTGTTTAGTCATTTAGTCGTTTCTGACTCCTCGTGACCCCATGGACCAGAGCACGCCAGGCCCTCCTGTCTTCCACTGCCTCCCGGAGTTGGGTCAAATTCATGTTGGTAGCTTCAATGACACTGTCCAACCATCTCGTTGTTTGCCATCCCCTTCTCCTCTTGCCTTCACACTTTCCCAACATCAGGGTCTTTTCCAGTAGGAGGATAACCCATAGATTCACTGAGACCTGGAAAGTTAGAAAAGTTTCATTTTCCAATAGGTGTCAAGCATACTGTATTATCTAGTCAGATTCAGAAAGGGTGGAAGAAAGTAGAGCTGGGAAAGAGGAATAACAAGAACTACAGGCAATCAGGGACTAAAGCCAGAGAAAAGATAATAAAGGAGACTTCCCATATGCAGGATTATGGCCTCAGTCCCAGCTGACAGATCAGAGAACTAAGGCAAGTGCAGCTAGAAACTTTCCATTTAAGCAGAATTCATTCCTGCAGTACAGCTTATGAACCCCTGACAATCAGATCTTCTTCCCAGTCAACTCCCACCATGGCAGTTGTGATCTATAGGAAAAAGAAGACCCTGGGATCACAAATGTTTTGAGGAGTGGCCAGAATCTTTCAGAAACGAACTCCACCGGATCATCTGGGGAACGGCATTCTAAGACACCAACTCACTTACTTGTTTTGATGATTTGAGGTGTGCAGGGACTCTGAGCTTCAGCTCAAGTGACTAATCTGTTTGTATAATGAAGACCCCAGAGAAATAACTGGTGGTCTAACAAATATTGTTTGGTAACTTTCAATAAGGAGTTTAACATGCCTCCCCCCCCCAAGGGTAAGACAGTGCAACAAGATTTAAACGATCCTGTTTCACAAAATTTCTTCTGACAAGCAGAGTTAGAAGAAATAATGCATAGTAGATCTAGTGGTACATACTACAGTGGTGCCTCGCTTGACGACCTTAATTCGTTCCAGCGAAATCGCTGTAGAGTGAAAACATTGTCAAACGAAACAAAAAAGCCCATTGAAATGCATTAAAACCCGGTTAATGCATTCCAATGGGCTGAATACTTGCTCGTTTTGTGAAAATCCTCCATATGGCGGCCATTTTCGGTGCCTGTAAAGCGAGGAATCCGTCCCTAGAAAACAGCGGGGGCCATTTTGAAAGCCAGGGGCCATTTTGAAGCCACCAATCAGCTGTTCAAAAAACATTCTTTTGCAAAGAATCGGTTCCCGAAGCAGGGAACTGATCATCGCAAAGCGAAAAAGCCCCATTTAAAACATTGTTTTGCAATTGCTTTTGCGATTGCAAAAACTTCATCGTAAACTGATTTCCTCGTTAAGCAAAGCAATCGTTAAGTGGGGCACAACTGTACAGTAATTTAGAGTGACATAGCATCTAGTTACCTTTATAATAGAATAAGAAACCATAGACACAAGTATTTTTAAAGATTATAATGTTTGCCTTATTTCAATAATGTATTGGTTTAAATTTGTATTTCTTAGTATTTCTTTTTGACACTGGAGTCCTTTAAACTTGGGATAGCCTGCTTTGTATAAACTCATGGCTTAGCCCAACATGACACCAATTGTGCCTAATTACTAGAAGAAGAAGAAGAAGACATACATGCAGCCATGGGACCTCCACTGAAGGAATTTATAGTACCAAAGGCTGGATGTCATTTTGCAAAATAAGTGAAACTACAATTTGGTAGCTGCTTCCTTTAACTAATCCATCATTTAAAATCAACCCCCACTCTGACATGATTGTCTGATGACTCTCTCTCTTTTTTTAATGACCAAGGAGTCCATGTACCCAGACAGGGCGGATGCTTAAATTGTCTAAGAAGGTGGCTGTACATTTCTAACTCCATAGCTCTTGGTTATTCAAATCTTGCTGCTTAGCATAGTAAGTTGCAACTAGAGTAGGCCAATTGAATCATTGAGTTGACTCACCAGATCCCTATTGATTCAATAGCCCGACGCTGGTTGCAACTTACTGTGCTAAGCAACAGGATGTCAGCTAGTGAGTGAGTCTGTGGGATAGCGTGAGTGAAATCTACCACCATTTGTATCATTTGATCAGGCCCATTTCTTCGTCTGCAGCGTTCCTCATCCTTTACATCCTGAAGCTGTTGGCTAGGTGTCCTCTGAGCATCACTTTAGCACCGATCCAGCCCAAATGACAAGAAGCGGGATTTGGGAGTAGATGCCATGGAGGCTTCTCTGACCTCTACTTTCTCCCATATCTATTGATAGACTCCTAGGGTCACCTGTCAGTCTCACCCATCTTTGCTATTTTTCTAAGGAGCCAACATGCTGAGTTCCTCTCCTGTGTGCCTTCTGAGACACATTTCTGCCTAGTTAGGATTTGGGTTTAGGCTTTTT